GGCCATTTATTCTTACACACATCTTATCTTCCTTGCTGCTATGAATGCATGGGTGGATCGCTGCTGGATAGGAACCTGTGAGCCTGAGGCAGGAATCATCACTTGCACTCAGGACTTTGAAGGTAGACTGGGCAACATAGCAAGACCCCATCTCAAAAAAAAAAGAGGCGGGAGGGGGGTGGAGAGAGGGGGAGGCTGGGAACGAGGCTTAGTGGTAGAGTGCTTGCCTAGCATGCATGAAGCCCTGGGTTCCATTCCTCAGTACCACATACACGGAAAATGCTGGAAGTGGCACTGAGGCTCAAGTGGTAGAGTGCTAGCCTTGAGCAAAAGAAGCTCAGGGACAGTGCCCAAGCCCTGAGTTCAAACCCAGGACTGCCACAAAAAAAAAAAAGCAATGGTGGGTTCATGTCAGGGCTGTCAGAGCAGAGCAGTATTGACTACTACATCATGGACAATGTTCAGGCCAAGCTGCTTTGATACACACGTGAGGAAGTGAATGGTTCAGTTAAAGGGCCATAATCTTCAGTAGGTCCCTTTCATCTTAGTCAGACTGAACCTTTCACTTCAACCCACAAAATAATCTTTCTTTTCTGCGACCTGACTCCTTACCTTGTGCCAACTGTCAGGACTTGGACCCAGGGTGGTATCTCTGAGCTACAGAGGCGCTCGATCTGACTACTCACAAGGGCTATATCTACTATGACTATGTTTGCATAAGGAGACCACAGGACCCTACAAGTGTCTTCTCTGGCTTGCCATTCAGCTGCAAAGGCATAGATAGGTGAGAGTCTGTACTGCTCCCGAGAAAGGCCAGCACAGGCATAGCACTGAGGCACAGGTCTCTCTAGGCACCCCAGAATCTCTCAGGATATTGGGGCTTTTCATCTATGCAGACTTGTGGATGACAGTAAGTCTCTTAACCCCCTGAGATTATCTAGCCATGAGACAAGACTGTTGGAAAAGCTAGTCCAGGGTTGGGAATGTGGCTTAGTGGTAGAGTGCTTGTTTAGCATGCATGAAGCCCGGGGTTTGATTCCTCAATACCACATATTCCAAAAAAGTCAGAAGGCACTGTGGCTCAAGTGGTAGAGTGCTAGCCTTGAGCAAAAGAAGCTCAGGGACAGTGCCCAGGCCCTCTGACTTCAAGCCCCAGGACTGGAGAAAAAAAGCAAAGCAAAGAGAAGCAAAGCAAAGCTAGTCCAGAAAAACAGAACGAGTCAGAGTCAAAGCGAGGACTAGCCGGGTGCCGGTGGCTCATGCCTGTAATCCTAGCTACTCAGGAGGCTGAGATCTGAGGATCATGGTTCAAAGCCAGCCTGGGCAAGGAAAGTCTGTGAGACTCTTTATCTCCAATAAACCACTCGAAAACTGGAAGTGGCGCTGTGGCTCAAGTGGTAGAGCGCTAGCCTTGAGCTGAAGAGCTGAGGGACAGCGCCCAGGCCCATAGTTCAAGCCCCACAACCAACCGGAAAAAAAAAAAAAGCGAGGACTAGAAATCAGAGACAGACAGGGAGCAAGGAGGTACAGAGAACTGCTAGGGTTCAGCTGAAAAGAGTCTCAACTCATAGGCATTGGAAGCCCTGAAGTCTCTAAAGGAAACTCTCTGCCTACAGGCTGGGCTGGGCTACAGCAAAACCAAACAACAGGTGGCCCAGCAGCATGAGAAATCACCCAGGTTCCCAAAGAAGGAGTCAGTCCTGTACCCAGAAGCACTGCAAGATGGCTGGGATGATTTTCTGAAGGTCCAGAGATGAATGATGAATAAAGAAACAGAGAAGGCGCTGGCCTAGAAGCATGCAGATCACAGAACTATTTTTGAAAGGTGGGTGTTTCAGAAAGTGTTCCCTTTTCTCTGCCAATCCCAATGCCTGGTTTTAGATACAAAGTGCCAAGCTCTAGTAAAGGGATAGAGAATCACATGGAGAATATTCTAAACATACTCCAGTCAATACTTTTTTTGGGTTGCTTCCAATTTTCCCTTCTGAATTAGAGTAGCACCCCCCCCCTTTTTTCTTCTTAAACTTTAGAGAACATTTTGTAAACTATTCATTAACCTATTTAGTTAAAAAAAAAATGACTTGATTGGAAACCTCTCTTGCATCTAGCATTATGTGAAAAACTAAAGACGCAACAATCTGATTTACTGCAAAGTTTAGTTACTACATGTATGTATTTTAATTTGAAAAAAAGAAAAAGAAATCTAACAAGAGACCTAAAGTTTTAGTCTTTTGTAAACACACACACACACACACACACACACACACACACACACACACACGTGAATGGCAATTCAATACCACTACACTTAAAAACACTTCTATGTTTGATTTGGGACAGAGGGCAGGCGTGGAGACATTTAGCAGGCACCAGACTACTGCGGAGGTCAGCAAGTCAGGTCTGGGTCGAAAGAAAATAGACCTTAGAAAAAGTCATCAGATTGATGATGCAGCAGCTTCAATCAGGGACTGGTCACTTGAGAGACACAGACAGCCTTGAACTTCAAGTCAGCCATTCCAGCATCCCAAACAAAGAGCTCAGTAAAGTATTAATCTTCCCTCCCTGCAAAGACTGACAACCTGTAAGTAGGTGAAAGGGCACACAGTTCTTACGAAACTGCTAAGACAGCAGAATAAAGTCTAAACATGTAGAAAACAGTCAAGACTGACATTGGCAGCAAGCAAGGTCAGAAGGGTAGGGATCCAGAGTTCAACTAGAGGAAGCTTGGGGACACTCCTTGTCAGGAGAAGACCCCAAACATGCCGCAAGCTGATTTTTGAGTTGCCTCTTCTTTGGGCCAGCCATAAGAAGAATCTGAAGGAACTACGCCAACCTCAGAGCCAACCTCCTTTGTCACGGTTCTCACTGGTAATAGACTCACTGGTGAGACCAGAACCCAGGATGTGGGTTCTAATTCCCATTGTCTGAGGACACATGGGCCATAGCTGGCTGCCTCCTTTCAATACTTCTTTTGTCAATTAGTGAGGCCTTCTAGGCACTGGAATGATGTCACTGGGTGAGAAATCCCAATGGGGCTTGGGTCCCTTACTACTTGTCTGTGGAGGAAGCAGGCACAGGTGCTGAAAACATCAAACTTCCAAACCCACAGTACACACAGTGAGGTCTCTGTGGTAGCTCTGATTCTATTCTGGAAGAGTGACAAGCCCCACAAGCAACCTACCTAGGGCCGCCAGAGGCTCTGACAGGCTTTCTGCAGCTCCAGGAGGGTTAGATGCCCTTCGAAGACCCAAGGATTCTCTGTCATTCCTTTCCCTCTGCTCCTGCCAGTTTCTTGAGAGATCATCTGGGCCTAACTGAGCGAAGCACCCTGGACTCACTAAGAGGCCTCTTCCTCTAAGAAGCCTATTCTAACTTTTGAATCTCCCCAATCCTGACACTGAATCTGTGGTGTGATACCCATCAAGGAAGGTTCTTTTCATTGCCTTGCTTACTCTGTACTGCTGACTCCAAAGAACTAGTGTCAATGCACAAGTGAATCCCAAAACACATCCTCATGCACCATTAATAACATGCCATGCTGCCAGCTTGAATGACTGCAAGTTCACAGAGGCACAGACAATGCCACCCAAGAGGGAAATCCAAGGGGCTGGAGAATGGAATGGCTTCTCCCACTTCTGACAAACTGAAGGTTATTACATGTCCTAACTATACCCGGCTCAAAAAACCATAGAAAGCACTCCAGGCCAATAAGCCACCCTGAACAGATCTTCAAATGGATGTGTACTTAAGAAATAATGAAGGCTGGGAAGGTGGCTCCGTGGTAGAGTGCTTGCCTGGCATGCATGAGGCCCTGGGTTCAATTCCTCAGCACCGCATAAGCAGAAAAAAGCCAGAAGTGGCTCAAGTGGTAGAGTGCTAGCCTTGAGCTGAAGAGCGCCCAAGCGCCCCATGACCAACAACAACAACAACAAAAAAGATCAATCCTGACCTAAAGGAAAACAATTCTTCCAGGAGCATGACCAAACTTTCCTTTCAGAGTGAGTAGTGAGGGAAGAAGCAACTTGAGAAAGAAGGGAAGAACGTTTTATGCATATACTTTTACTTTAAAAATTTTTTGGAAACAGCCATGCACTGTAGCTAACTCAGGAGGCTGAGATCTGAGGATCATGGTTCAAAGCCAGCAAGAAAGTCTGTATCTTTTTGGTTTTGTAGGTCAGGAGGCTTGAACTCTGAGCTTGGGCATTGTCCCTCAGGGCTAGGCCTCTACCACTTGAGCCACAGTGCCACTTCCATTTTCTGGTGGTTTATTGGAGATAAGTCTCACAGACATACCTGCAGCTTTGAACCGCAATCCTCAGGTCTTAGCCTCTTGGGTAGCTTGGATTACAGGAGTGAACCACCAGCACCCAGCAGTGTGAGTATCTTATCTCCAATTAACTACTAAAAAGCTGGAAGTGGAGATGTGGCTCAAAGTGATAGTGTGCTAGCTTTGAGCACAAAAGCTCAGGGACAGCACCCAGGACTTGAGTTCAAGCCCCAGGACCAGAACAGAAAAGTGGGGGGTTTTTTGATTGTTGTTTTTTTTTGTTTGTTTGCTTTTTGTTGTTTTTTTGGTTTGTTTCCTGGACTGATGCTAAGAAAAGAAAAAATGATGACCGCACTTTGGTCCAAATCCTGGCCTCCTCATTTGGGCTACGGTCTAGAGAAAAATCCCAACTCAGGGTTTTACAGCATCTCCTAGATAAAGCCAAAGTCCTTCTGGATGCCACATCCTATGTGGCCATCAAGATGGGGTGTCCAACACGACCCCTGTGCTCTAAGATGCCCGCTCTGGATGGAGATCACATCGTCAAAGTGCTCCTGGGCCACCAGGCTGGAGAATACTCTTCAGCAGGGTACTGGCCAAGGGTGGGGGGGGGAGGAGAATGCCAGCATCCATCCATGCATCGCACACCGGATTGGGGCGGGCAGGGGGGGGGCGCTCAGAGACCCCAAAGGGTGCCTTCCTATTAGAGGCCGAGCGGGAGACTGCCACCTACCTCGGTCACGATGGTGGTCTGGTAGATGTCCCGGCTGAACTCCCAGCCGTCCACGCAGCTCTCCTGCTCCAGCCGCTCCAGGTCCACGTCCAGCACGGGCTCCAGCCCCAGCGCCGACAGGTTGGCGATGGTGGCCAGGCGGTAGCGGCGGCAGCTGTGGGGCACCTCGCGGCCATCCTGCCGCACCAACGGGATACTGTGGTTGCGCCAGGCGCTGCTCAGGTTCGCCGTGTCCGGCACCCGGCAGTGGTGCTCCGGGGTCCCCGTCAGGAACACGACGGACATACCGTTGAAGCCATTGGGGATGATGCTGGCGCTGAGCAGGAAGAAGATGAGGCGCTGGAAGGGTCCCCACTCGCCCAGGAAGGCGGTCACCTCCTCGTAGTCACGCATGCCGCCGTCCTAAGCGTCCCGCAGCGCCGGGTCCCGGGGTCGGGGCGGCGTGCGGCAGGGGGGCGGAGGCGGGGGCGGGGATGTGCGCCTGCGCGTGGGCCACCTCACTGTCCGACGCAGCGAGCGAGGAACGCACCCGGAGAGACCCCTTTCCCACCCAAGCAGACCGGCGAGCTTCTCCGCGCTTCAGCCACCGCCTTGGCCCACGCACCACCGCCGGTCTTTACATAGAGTGAGAGGCCGGGGCGGGCTCAGGGCCTGGGCCGCAAGGGCCCGCCCCGCCTGCGGGCAGTGTGGCACGGCGCTGCGCTGCGCGCGCGCGCGCGCGGCGCGCGAGGCGGAGGGGGCGGGGTCAGGGCGAGCGTGACGCAGTTGAGTGTCCGGGCAGCGCGTGCGCCAGAGACCGGAGCACGACCCGGCTCGTGACCTGCCGGAGAGGTGTGTGGGCGGGGCTACACAGAGCCACGCCTCTGCTAGACACGCCCCCTCCTAGCGTGATTGCCGCGGGCGGCGTAGAGAGGCAATGACTTTCAATGGTGGTGTCCAAGGTTAAAAAGTCAAGCTCCTTTCTCCAGACTTGGGGAGCAGCCTGGAGGCTTAACTATGAAATAAGCCCCAGTCCCCACCTTTTTTGCCGCTGCTCACGTATCTTTAAACGCTGCCTTGGACACCACCCCTCCTTGTAGGGGTGACATTATTTTGAAACTGGATTATTATTATTATTATTATTGTTATTTGTCATTCCTGGGGCTTGAACTCTGGGCCTGGGCGCTCTCCCTCAGCTCTTCAGCTCAAGGCGAACGTTCTACTACTTAAGCCACAGCACCATTTCTGGTTTTCTGGTGGTTCATTGGAGATAAGAGTCTCCTGGGCGTTCCTGGCTGGGCTGGCTTTGAACTGCGATCCTCAGATCTCAGCCTCCTGAGTAGCTAGGATGACAGGTGTGAGCCACCGGCACCCGGCCACAGAGAGGTTTTATAAGTCAGATAAATGAGAACATTTCTTTTTCGATAATGTCACCCTCATCTTTAGCTCTCTCCCAGTGAAACTGGAATTCTTAACTACTGCAATAGCTAGGCTGGGCGCAGTAACTTTTAATTATAACCCTGATGCCTTTGGAGATATTGTTCTGATCTTAAGAAGTCATTTTGTAACCTTATTCAAGCCAATGTAAACTTTTAATTTCAAAATTATTAAGTTGCAGCCAGGCGCCGGTGGCTCAGGCCTGTCATCCTAACTACTCAGGAGGCTGAGATCTGGGGATCGCGGTTCAAAGCCAGCCCAGACAGGAAAGTCCAGGAGACTCTTATCTTCAATAAACCACCAGAAAACCAGAGGTGGCACTGTGGCTTAAGTGGTAAAGTGCTCGCCTGGAGCTGAAGAGCTAAGGGACAGCGCCCAGGCCCAGAGTTCAAGCCCCGTGACTGACAACAAAAAAAAAATTATTAAATTGCATATGTATTTGTACAAAATAATGGGTTTGGGGCTGGGAATGTCTTAGTGGTAGAGTGTTCGCCTAGCATTCATGAAGCCCTGGGTTTGATTCCTCAGTACCACATAAACAGAAAAGGCTAGAAGGCCAGACACAGGTGGCTTTCACCTGTAATCCTAGCTACTCAGGAGGCTGAGATCTGAGGACTGGGGTTCAAAGGCAGCCTGGGCAGAAATGTCTCTGAGACTCTTATATCCCATTGACCACCAGAAAACTGGAAGTGGTGCTGTGGTTCAAGTGGTAGAGTGTTCACTTTGAGCTGACGACCTCAGGGATAGGGCCCAGGCCCAGAGTTCAAGTCCCAGGACTGGCAAAAAAAAAAAAAAATTCCCATGAGAGAAAAAAACATGATATTTATCTTTCTGAAATTTAAAAAAAAAAGGATTATTAAAGATTCCCCTTAGATCAGTTATTTTTGCTGTTGACTAAGCTGAGTAGTCATTAAAAAAAGTCCAATTGTGTGATTCTGAAGGAGACTTGTCGAACAGAAAAGTTGCATTTGTGGTTTTGTTGGTTTGACTGCACTGGCTATGTCTAGGGACACATCCACTTGCCTCAACCTCTTCAGTAGCTGGGACTACAGTCAGGGTGATCTTGCAGCCAGGTATATTTGTAATTTTAAACTTCATAGTAGTCAAATTAATAAATATTCTAGTTTCAGCAAATGAAGGTACACCTAGTAACATCCAAATTTTGGATAAAAATAAGTAATTTTTAGTATAGGCATGTACCATGCAGGGATTGATTATATATAACTCAAATGTAACTGCAAGTCCTGTATTTTGTCTGATAATGCTACACGTTACAAAGTTTCCGAAAGCCCGGGCACTGGTAGCTCACATCTCTAATCCTAGCTACTCAAGATACTAAAATCTGAGCACTGTGGTTTGAAGCAAGCCCAGGCAGGAAAGGTCCCTAAGACTCTTATCTCCAATTAACCAGCAAAAAGCCCAAAATGAAGCTGTGGCTCAAGGGATAAAGCACCTGCCTTGAGTGCAAAAAGCTATGTTCCAACCCCTGGGTTCCAGCCCAGTACTGGCTTCCCCCCTCACAGCCCTGCCCCCCCCCCAAAAAAAAAAAACACAAGAAAAAAAAAAGAAAAATATAGATAAGAGAGCTAGCTGCTAGTAGGTTTCCACAAGGAAATACAAACATTTACAAAAACCAGCTGATTTTTTTTTTTTACATTCTGAGAAAAGTAGTATAACAAATATTGGTTATTCTACTTCCTTAGTATAGATGGCTATGCTATTTCAGAAGTGTACTTAATTCTTTATATCATCTTACTCTTTTCTTTCTTTTTTTTGAACAAGGTCTTACAATATAGCCTAGACCGGCTTGGCACTTGTGATCGATCATCTTGCCTGTGCTTTCAAAACGCAGAAATTACAGATGTAGACCAACATACTCAGCTTTCCCTAACAATGTAAAGTAATACTCCTTGTCTGGAATTAACTGGGGGAAAAAAAATAAAACAAAATATCTTGAAAACAGTCTTGTTTTGGGTTTTTTTCTTCTGTTTTGTTTGGGGGATTTAGGGATCCTAGGATATTACTTAACATTTCAAAATAAATGAAACTTCTATGAAGAGAATGTTGAGTCCTGTCCAGAGTAAACAAGGTGAAAAAAAAAAAAATAAAGTCCTATTTTAACATTCAGAAAGTTATCAGTTGGGACATCAGGAAAAAATGCTCCTTATAAGGTAAGAAAATGATTCCTTGGGCAGAAAGTCATAAGAAAGTGAACGATTTGTCTTGCACAGAGCCCAAACTCACCTGGGGCCATGATTACTATCTGAATGTTATTTTTAAATTTCATCTCTGAAAGACTGATTGGTAAACCCAGTTTCTCAGAAACAGGAGATTAGTCGAGGCTAGTACAGCAAAAAGGGGGAAGCCAGGCGCTGGTGGCTCACGCCTGTAATCCTAGCTACTCTAAAGCTTGTGATCTGAGGATTGAGGTTCTAAGCCAGCACGGGCACACACACTCCGTGGAACTCTTATCTCCAATAAACCACCAGGAAACCGGAAGTGGCGCTGTTGCTCAAGTGGTACAACGCTAGCCTTGAGCTGAAGAGCTAAGGGACAGCACCCAAACCCAGAGTTCAAGCCCCACAACCGACAAAAAAAAGGGGGGGGGGGCGGATCTAGTTACTTTCTTCTTTTTTTCGTGTTCAAATGTGCCTGTACTGGGACTTGAACTAAGCACCTGAGCACTGTCCCTTAGTGCTTTTTTGCTCAGGATTAATACTCTTCCAATTGAACCACAGCTTTACTTCTGGCTTTTTGGTAGTTAACTGAAGAGTCTCACAGACTTTTTTCTGCCCAGACTGGCTTTGAACCAAGATCCTTAGATCTCAGCCTCCTAAGTAGCTAGGATTATAGGTGAGCTACTTGTATTCCAGGAAGGTCTTGATTTCAATGATTCTGTCTCATTCAATAAGTAGGAAGTTGGGCTGGGGATGTGGCTTAGTGGTAGAGTGCTTACCTAGCACGCATGAAGCCTTGGGTTTGATTCCTCAGTACCACATAAACAGAAAAAGCCAGAAGTGGTTCTGTGGCTCAAGTGGTAGAGTGCTAGCCTTGAGCAAAAGAAGCTCAGGAACAGTGCCCAGGCCCTGAGTTTAAGCTCCAGGACTGGCCAAAAAAAGTAGGAAATGGTAATGCCTCTGGTCCCAGCTACTCCATAGACTATAGTTAGGAGAATCCCTGGGCCCTGGCAAAAAACAAACAAACACCAGAAAAATAACTAAAAAATAACTAAAGTAAAAACTGGCTGAGTAATAGAGCACTTGCAGGCACAAGGACCTGAGTTCAAACACCAGAATTGGCAAGTGAATTTCAATAAATAAATAGATAGATAAATAAACAATGAGAGTTCATTATCTCTTCAGATTCTGAATTAGGATGTTCCTGTTTGAGCCAGCCATTGCTTGATTTGCAATGCTGGGATGGAACCTAGGGCCTAGTGCATTGCTAAGCCAGCGCTCTGCCACTTAGCTACATTCCCCAACTTAAAATCTTCTGGTTTTACATATAAAGGAAACTTCAACTGATTTGTGGGGCTGGGAATGTGGCTTAGTGGCAGAGTGCTTGCCTAGCATGTATGAAGCCCTGGGTTCAATTCCTCCGTACCACATAAACAGAAAAAGATGGAAACGGTGCTGTGGCTTAAGTGGTAAAGTGGTAACTTTGAAGCAAAAGAAGCTCAGGGACAGTGCCCAGGCCCTGAGTTCAAGCCCCAGGACTGGCAAAAAAGAAAAAAACAACAAAACAAACAAAAAGCCCTGATTTGTGCAGCAGGTAGCAGAGTCAGGGTTAGAATCTTAGATTCAATGGCTTCAAGCACTAATGGATGTGACAGCTGGCTTCCTGTGTATTCATACCCTGGGTAAATCCCTTCAGCTTTGTTTGTGTGTGCCAGTCCTGGGGCTTGAATTCAGGGCCTGGGCGCTGTTCCCATTTACCACTTGAGCCGCAGCAGCTCCACTTCCCCCTTCAACTTTCTACCAAGTTGGTCTTTATGACCAATAGCATACAGAGAAGTGATGGAATTTACATCACAACCAAAATGCTGAACTCTGGGCCTGGGCACTGTCCCTTAGCTCTTCAGCTCAAGGCCAGTGCTCTACTACTTGAGCCACAGCGCCACTTATGATTTTCTGAGTGGTT